ACACACACACGGACACACACACACACTCACACACACACACACGCAGTCCGACAAAACAGTCTGGTACAGTCATGCTTTTTTTGAGTGTATAGCAAATATTATAACACACACACACACACACACACACACTCACACACGCACACGCACACGCACACACGACTACACACGCACACACACACACACACATACACATGCACACACACACACACACACACACACGCACACGTGAACACACGCACACACACACACATGCATATACTCTCTCTCTCTCTCTCTCTCTCTCTCTCTCTCGTGCGCGCCCGCATGTGCTGAGAGACAGAGAGAGAGAGAGAGGAAGCGCGCAGCTATGTTAGAGCTGCGCGCCTGTGTGCCAGGGTTCGTTTTTTTTTAATCAATCAATCAATCAATCAATCAACAATCAATCAATCAATCAATCAATCAATCAATCAATCAATTTCTATTTCTTTATTTTTTTTTTTTCGGTCTTGATTATTTATCTTTTTTTTTTAAATATGAAAAACTCAAAAAAATAAAATAAAAATTATGGTGGTGTAGAGCACGAAAAGCTCTACACCCCCATATTTTTTATTTTATTTTTTCGTTGTTTTTTAAGTGGGTTTCGTCACTTTGTACGAGAACGTTCATACGGCTGTACGAATGTCCGTACGGCCATACTACCAGGGCCCCGTACGACGTACGACGTGTTTCACAACACTAAGCTACCTATAGGCTCTCACGTCACATATCTAAGCTCTTCACTACCAAACCCATCTCTCCCCTCTCCCTTTTTTAGCCCGACTCATTTTTCTCAGCTTCCCACCCTAACACGATCATACAAACCTCCCATTTACCGCCCACATACTATGGCATTTCCAACCCGACTTGCCCACTCTTCACTATACTGATTCCAACCCAACTATGCCAATACCCGCTAGTATTCTTTATTCTTTATTAATTATAAATTATAAATTATTATTTAATATTGCTTTCTTTACACTCACCACCTGTTTATCGGTTGCCTTTTTTCTTCCAACTATCCCCCCCTTTACGGCTTCATTTTACATTCCCGTCCTTTCTTTTGGCCCGCTACAGTCCCACTCTCCCCAACTCTTAGTCCTTTTCTCCAAACAGTGAATTTTTCCTCCAAAGTTCGTCGACATTCACTCGCTACTTGCATGTTCTCATATCACAAATCTAAGTTCTTCACTACTAACCCCATCTCCCCCCTCTCCTCATTTCAGCCAGACCCATTCTTTCAGCTGCCCGCCCTCACACAATCATCCGAACCTCCTCCCATTTACCGTTCGCATTCACTCTCCACCTTGCCAATTCCAACCCGACTTGCCCATTCTCACACCCCCGCCCACATTCATATGTGAGCCTCCCGACTTCCCATCACAACTCCACACTGCCCAACTCCAAACCCACCCCTTACTCTTCCTTAGTGTAGCCCGACTCGCTTCCAAACTCCCTGCTTCCAAACTCCCCGCCCTCCCCCGAAATCACTTGAACCTTTTTTTTATGTGTGCGTGTGTGCGCGTGTGTGCGTGTGTGTGTGAGAGAGAGAGAGGGGTTCACTCTGCTACTGAACACTCTACATGGACCTGGATTATTCTCTGGACCAAATGCATTTGGACGTATGGAGCACTTTGGATGCATCGGGACCATTACCTAGTCCACGTACATTTTGTGTATATGTGTGTGTGTGAATGTGTGTGTGTGTGTGTGTGTGTGTGTGTG